CCCCCCTTCCTTTGAAAGAGTTCACTGAGTTCACAAAATTGTCATGTTCAAAGTCATAGCACCCAGGTCTTCCCCTCACACCCTCCACCCACCCAAGTAAACACCTCATTCTGATCAGCCATCTGAGGAGGATCCTCCGCCTGATCAGAATTGAAGTGGCACCTGGCCATCTTTTGTATAAACTATGATCATTGGAGAGACTATTGTTCTCAACGGTGCAAAATATGCAACCTAGATCTGCGCAAGTGTGTTTGACCGTCCTCCTTGTCTGCCAATTCTTCACGCCCTCTCTCCTGACAGAAACAGGAAGCAAGCCAATCCTTGTGCCAACAGACTCTGCGACAGAGATATGAGTTGGTCAGATGCCAAACAACACCAACTAGGTCAAGACAGAGTTCAGCATGGAGATACATCAGCGGCTTTCACAAAACTTCCCTGCAAGAAAGCAGCTAATGGATTGCCAATAGATTCTGCACACGGTCAGCTTCCACACATCAGCAAAATGACATGCAAGAATTCGGTTGCTAAATGAGCAACCAAACTTGCGCCCAACAATCTGTGCCTCTGCTGGAACCTCTGCGCATCTTTCGGCCTTAGAAGGCTAGCTTAGTTGGGGCAAGAGTATCTACGTTCAATGGGGACTATCAAAGAAAGAAGACTTTATGATACCCACAATCCCTCTGATCAGTTATTCTCCACGAGGAAATGTCAAATGAAAATCTATTCCAGAGAAAGAATGGATTGAAAGTGGACTAGTGACTCTACTGTCTGTGTTCCACATCCATCTATACAGGATACAAGAACAATCACAATGTGCTGGAAATTGAGGACCCAAGCGTCAACGACCATTTGGACCTCACGACACCATTCAAAAACAAATTTCTATACATATACATATATATATATATGTATTTATTTAGTTAGTTATGTAATATGTATGTTATAGAGCTGGGGCGATGCTAGTTTGGGAGGTGAAGCAAATCCAAAGCCTAAGTTTTCTTGGAGTTCTCCCAAACACCATGCAAATGATACCGAAAGTTTTGCAATGCCTCAGATCCAACAAAGAAACGCTTTTTTGAAACACCCAGTTGCCAAGTGAAACCATCTTCCCGCGCTATCTAAATTCTCATCAGGTGCCAGACCCTCTGATCTGGATCTGGCAGATCCTTGCTGAGCTCGCCACAGCGCCCGGAACCTGAAGACTCCCGGCCTAGGTGGAGCGAGCGCAGCCAAGGCTGCAAGTGATAGTGCGGATCAGCAGTCACTGCTATGAACATCAGTCCCAATATATAAAGAGGATCTTCCAAGGCCTGTGGAGTCCATCTCTTCGGTCAAGAAATCGGAGTCGTTCCCACCACTTTTTGAAACACGGCCTTTGCCCATCTGCATAGCCTTTGCATATGCCAGGCAAGCTGCATGGCGACAGGGCGACGTTCTCTCACTGCACCGAATGAAGTGCGCCAATTCTTTACAATGCCACCTTCTCTTCGTGTTCGAAAATTGGACATGTAGGAGCTTCAAAATGGCACGGCATCGCACATCGCACTGGCCAACGTCACTGCGAGATGACCAGATGCGAGATCGCCATCGCCGTCTCCACCTTATGCGTATGAATTCACTTTACATCTTGCAGAAGTTGCCCCCCAACATGGGCCAAATCGGAGAGCCATAATTCAGATGGGCAATGAGCTGCCCATGCCAGCAAATTAGGTGCAAGGGACAAGGAGGAAGATGTACGCTACGCCTCTTCCCCCTCCTCTCGCCGAAAGGGACTATGGGACATAAAAACTATACATGACGTGCCTGGCAACAATCATCGTGACTCCTGGCATCCAGCTCGTCACTAGAAAAATCGTTGTGTTACAACAGCATCATGGTGAGGTCATGACATTCTAGCACTGTTGACTCTCTACAGCCTACCCATCTTCTAGGGGCCCTCTTCATTTATTCACCCCGCGCCTGTCGACGGCTTTGAACCTGGCCCATTTCGATGGTTTTGGCGAGGTCGAAGTTACAGCGCCAAAGAACCAAGAGAGTGCAGTACAAACACGATATGCCCTGCTGATGCAGCCATTGGGATTGTTTATCCAAGGCTGATGCCCGTGTTTGCCAAGGTCCAATCAATAGCTAAGTGTGCGAGGTGCGCGAGGTGTCCCAGGCTCAATCAATGGTTGCTTGCCCCAAAAAAAGCGCTTGACCTCTGAAACTAGACAGGAAGCATGAACACCAACAGATTGTCATTTGCAACAAACTGGATCGCCCGAATGCGCCCCTCCAAAAGTGGCCCACCCACGTAAAAATGGGCCCTCCATCGACCTCGCCTGGGGTGGCTTGATGAACTTCGTGGGTGCTGGGAAGCTTTGACGTTGACCTCGAAGAAAGATCACAGGACGATACCTGAAACCACGTCTTGGCGGAAGTCACGGCTGTACACGGCTGAAGTCGAAGCTAGACCAGATCAATCTCGTACCAACAAGGATATGTCGGAACACGTGCACATACCTCCACATATTTCCTGCTTGGTATTACTTGATTCAGCCAAACTCAATTTGTCTCGGCATGTTCAGAAGGAACTCTGAAATAGGCCCCCTCCCAGCTGCACTCGGCTGCTCAGCCACTCATCCGGCACGCTCTTGTGCATCACTGGGCTGTTGCGGTAGCGCTCCACATGGGCCTCGTAGCCCTGGTGCGGCCCACTCCATCGCACCGCACAGACCTGAAGAGCGTGGCTTTGCGATCGAGGACCTTAAAAGCAAACATGAAGCATCATCTATCTATCCCTCTGCTGGCTCTCGTGCTCACTCACTCTCTCTATCTATTTATTTATCTATCTATCTATCTATCTGACTATCTATCCATCTATCTACCTATCTATGTATGTATGTATGTATCGATCGATCGATCCATCTATATACCTAATCATGTCTCAAGAAACACATCAAGGTTCAAGACGGTGAGAAATGGTTGTTGATCCCAAGGGCACCAGGTCATACACCTGTCAAACTGGTCCATCAACACAGCTACTTTGGCATCAAACTGTCCTTCAGATGTTTTCAACCATTGACCTTACAACACAGGCTTCACCTTGGACGACTCACTGGCAAGCATGTCCTCACTGGCAGGGACAGAGCGCGTTTTTGGATCCTCTCCAGCTACACCCATGGATGGGGTGCTGTGGATTGACTTCATATTCCGGCACCTCGTCAGCTGTTTCAGGAGAGATGGAGTAAAGCCTTCACCAAGTTCAGAGATGTCTGCTGAGGCCTTGCCAGAGATGATTTGCCACGCCCATGACCCACGCGGTTGTCGCGGCATCATGTTGCCAGATGTCCCCTGACAAAGCTGGTGCGCAAAATATGGCGCAGTAAGCCTCAACGCTACCTGCCCAATTCTGCTACGCCTTTGCAAGCTGGATGTCTTCCAGGCACTGGTCCAGATCAAATCCAACTTTTGGCGCAGTCCCATGCAGAGTATGCTGCCTCTCAGGGTTTGTCCCATGCGTGTGTTTTTGTTGACAATAACAGTACCGGCTTTTTCGTCCAGCCTTGCTTCGAGACATCCATACTGATGAGGATTTAGCGGCCTTTTTTCGTCATCATTCATCATGGTCTGTCCAGTCAATCATACCAAACGTTCAGTTGTCAGCATCGTCAGTATGGAGTCTTCTGCTGGGCCGTCTCAGACCGCACACAGTGCGGGAGAGCCCCCTGGCTGCCAATTTGTCCTCTGCCCAATCGAGAAGGAGGCAGCGATCGGATGGTTGATGGCAGTCCGCCTTAGCAACGACTGCCATGTTTTGGGCCCTTTCACAACTCACTGACCTCACTTGGAACGACCTGAGCGCAGGAGCTGAGAAATAGAAATGCTACATGGCCAACAGAAAAGGGACACCAGCAGTGACAGACCTGGGAGACAAATGAACATGGCCAGCGGAAAAGGGCAGACACCACCAGGGACAGACCTGGAAGACACATGAGTAGAAATGTTGCATGGCGATTGGGAGTGAGAGACCTGGGAGACAAATGAGTAGAAACGTTGCATGGCCATTGGCAGTGACAGACCCAGCAGCGAGCTGCATGGCCAGCGGAAAAGGGCGGACACCACCAGTGACACAAACGGCGGACACATCTTAAGAAAGAATTGAGAACCCCTAACAGTAAATTGTTTGGGGGAAAAAAAGAGAACTTTTTAGTGACACATTCGCGGTTCCTTCCCTTCACTGCGGCTCTTGTCTAGACGCTAACAGGAAGGGTCCCGAATCGATTCGGAACCGAACTGAACTGAAAGTTAGCGAATGTCAAGAACCGAAATGTTTCATGAACCGAATGTAAACAACCGTCAATTTTCCAAACGCGAACCGTTCCGCCCTGTTCCGGGGTCAATCAGCAAAGCGCTTTGTGACGTTTTTCTCAGACTGTCGAAGGTCGTGGAGTTTCAGAGCACCTGTCTCCCAGTGGAATGCCCATACAGCATGTCACTGGCGCGGCCCGGCTTCATGAGCATTCACAAATTGTTTCCTTTCCTTTCCTTGTCCTTTTCCTGTCCTGTTGCTTGCTTTCCAATATGCATTTTAGACGGCATGGAAAAAGCATTTTCACAAATTACATGCCCTCCCTTTCCATGTCCATGTCCTTTTTCTTTCCTTTGCTTTCCCTTCCTTCCTTGTCCTTTTCTTTCCTTGCCGTTTACTTTTTGTAAAGGATTTCCTTTCCAATATGCATCTTTAGATTGCCTGGAATAGGCGTATTCACAATTTGAACTCCTTCCCCTTCCTTTTCCTTTTCCGTTCATTTGCTTTGCCTTCCTTGTGCTTTCCATTCCTCATCCTTGCAGTGTCTGCGGCAAATTGGTGGTCTCGCATGAAGCACTGAGAAAGCATGTTCCGCTGAGGCACCATGAACTTGTACAGGTTCTCCAAATTGACCATTTCATGCACAGCCACAAAAAACGAAAGCAATCTCCCCTGTCAGGCTGCAACGCTTGCCAGGTGATTTTCCACCGACCTGTGGTTCAACTGAATGTTCGTCTGGGGGTTGAGCGTAATCTATCCTCCCAGCGAGCTCAAACGCTCTCATTACTCCAGACAGGTCCCTGCTTGCGGAGAGCAATGACTTGTAATTGCACCAGATGATCACACTTGGATCTGGCACTTGAGTTCTCCGTGTCTTGA